ATAATATAATATAATATAATATAATATAATATAATATAATATAATATCATATAATATCATATCATATCATATAATATCATATAAATAATGTTGCTCATGTTTAGCACTTTATTTTCAGAGAAAGAACAAAAACACCTCCAAGGATAAAAAAAAAATACTGCTCTTCTCATCTTCCAGCTCACTCAAAGTTCCTAACATGTACATTTCTCATGTATCATTAAAAGTGTTTTTAAAAGTTTTATGCGGCTTATTAAAGACAAGCCTATAAGTGATATAAGCCTAAGCTAACAATGTGTTCCAAAACCGTATATTTCGAATACATGGGTTAACCAAGTGCAAGAAACAGCAAAGAATAGTCCAAGGAGTTTCAGAAATGTTGGATCGATTGTGGCTCAGACTTGTTGTGTTATTATTGTCAGCAGCCATTTTTTACTTTCTCATACATTGTTTTTGTGACAGCAAAGTCTCAAAAAGGGGAATCATAAAGGAAATCTTTCCACACACACACTTATAGTTGATTTGTTCCTCACATTGTAAGAGTAACAATTTAGTCATGGATTCAATTAGCATTTAATCTAATTTAAAAAAAACAGCAAAAAAGGTTGAGGGGGTTGACTGCTAGCTTTAAACGTCCAAAACACTTGTAATTGTTTATTCAGTCAGATATTCTTTGCTGTTCTCTTTTTTTATATATTGCAAGATTGTAAGGACTGGCTATAATAAAGAACACAATAAAAGTTTTTTACAAGTACTTGGTTCAAGATTGACACAAAAATATGGTAGTAAACATTAGGAAAACATCATTGACTTTTTTTGCATTTCATTGGTTATTAGGTTCTGCCTCCTCGCGCCGCACTAAACATAAAATTAGTACTGTGTAATCTCACAGTTTCACCAGTTTATAGCAAAATATGAATCATTATATTTTGTGGTTTTGTAATGATTTTGAATGCTGTTAATGGAATTTAAAGATTTGAAGGGTGCATTTTTAGTCAGTACTATAAAGAAAAAAAATATTTTGCTCTGTTCTCTGTGGTTTAAATTACTAATGTTGTAAACATACATTTATTTTATCAAAGACATTTATTTGGAGGTAAAAGAAAAGGCACTAAATTAGAATAAAGTACCATAGAGTTTTTAGTACTGAGACATATTTTTTTTTGGTCCAGCTTTTACTTACCTGTCCTAACTTTGAATTGTTAAATTTCAGACAATGAGGTTAAACAAGAGAAAGTAGACCCACATTTTATATTTATTTTTGTTAAATATATGATAGGGTACATTTATTAGAACAGAGAGACTTTACAGAAGAGACTAAGAGGCCATGGTCTGTCCACAGTCACTGGGGTTGTCTGCCATTTGGCTGAACTCAAACAAAATCATGTAATACTCATTCTCACCCCCTGTTTGTCCTTTTGGGACTTCTCACACATACCTGAAATCTTGATAACATGTTACTATGCATGAGCATGTGGAATGTGGGATTGGTTTTGGCTCCAGTAATTTACTGACAGCCTTCTATGTACCTAGGTCTCCTGATAGGCCAAGAATTATACAGATATAAAAATGAGCCAGTGAAAGATACAAAGTGTATTTTAGCTTCCACTTGTAAGGTCAATAGTTCATGTGTGGCTTGTGTTGAAACTCTGTGACTGGAACTGACCCTGAATACAACGCAACCCCATTTGTTCTGATTCCCCTACTTACAGATCTCTCGAAGAAGACACCTTTGTGGAAAAAGAAAAATGTTCCTACTTCAGTGAATTAAATCTTTTAAAATGAAGTCTTATTATTCATCATCTTTATCTTTTATCACATATTTACTGCACAAAAAATCTGCTTTAAGTTGATCAAGACTTAAACCAATGTGCCTGATTCTGCCTAATCTGTTTACATTTATTTGTTCTAATCTCATTTTATTTGTTTTGATTGTTTCATGCCCACGTTGACCAAACCAACCCTTTACATATCTACTTTAAAGCCTATGCTGGTGTCTAAAAACAATAATCTTAATCACAAATTAGAAAGTGTCTCTAACATGAGAATGTGGTAAAATCCAGGGACATCCCCACAATCTGGACATGTTACAATGGAAGGAGACTCACCATAAATCTGAACATCTTGGCATGACCCTCTTCTTTCCGCTGAAATATGGTTCAAAATCTTGGGTCTTGAGTCTGTGGGCGTAGTCTATATAGCCAGATACTTCCTGTCCAAGAGTATTACGATCCCTTATGAAAATAAGCGACTGAAAAAAGAAGGGAAAAACAGAAGGAAACCCTCTGTGTAAATAATCATGACCATTACGGCCCTTTTAAGTAAAAACCAGTATGGCCATTGCCAGTTGTGGAGAATGAACAGATAGGGGCACTCTGTTGCAAATCTTCCCAGGCTGAAGTCCAAAGACTAATCTTATACTTTAAATTGGGTTAAAGACTCCAATGATTACAACTTGTGTCATTTTGTAGTGGCCCTAGCTCATAGATTTAGACTGTGTGGCAAAAAAAGTTTGTGGGGCTAAGGCTAAACCCTTTAACTTAAGTCAGTAAAGTCTCAGTTCCGTTCCAATACTCCTACAGTTGGGGCAAGACCATACTTTGAAATGACATAAAACTAGTAAAGTTCTGACATAATAGTCAATAATATGGGTTGTGTGAAAAGCTATAGAGCTTTATTAGGTGAACGAAAATCATAAGACAGGAAAAGCCAAGTTATGAGAAAAAAGCATGTGAGTCTTAGCTATAGATGGAATACCTCTATTGTTTTCACTTGTGAGGGTTTCTCACTTTCTCTGGATTTATGGGGGTATTCACTGAGCTACCTCAGAATCTTGGGAAAAAGGTTATCATACATTGTGCAGATTGTGAATATTTTGAAGCAAAACTGAGATTTCAGGAAATACTAAAGTACTCTAAAATGACTAATCTGTTGTTGATGTCTTAAAGACTAGTCTGAAGAAGGTGGCCCAAAATGAGTGACTGTAAAGCAGCTGCTTACCTTTTGTTTTACTAAGGTACTTACTAAAAAGCAGTTTTTTTTTCATGCAAACATATTTTAAGGTGATGTCATTCATAACAGGAAATAAAGTATTTGCAACAAAAAGGATCTGTGAGCTGAATCAGGATCACTGTTTTCTTTCCTATAGTTTAACTCCCTTTGGTTTTAAGCTTTGGAACCGAGAATTTAGAGTAATGAAAACAAAAAATCTTTAACCAGACTTACATTGGTTTATTTTCAAGCTGACCCAACTAAAAAAAGGATAATTAGCCTTGATACAAACAGACCCACTCTGAGATGTTGAGATTGGACTTCAATCCCTCAACACAAGTTTTATGTAACACTAAACATAAACACAGATGGTACTGTGCCTATTTAATTCAATTTATATCTAAAAATGATTGACCTCAGCTAGTACCTGTAACTCTTGGACCAATCTTTTTTAACCCATTGGGGATTCTTAAACATTGTGAAATGTTTCAATTTTATGCAAAGAGTGGAGCTGAATACATCATATGCAGAACAGCAACAACACTTAATCCACAGCTGAAATGGTTAGCACTGCTCCTCTTATTACAATGCAATTTTCTGCATGGGAAACCAACATCCTGGCATTCGCATGAATGTTATTCTGACAATTGTCACCCCGCTGCAAAAGCGCTCCCCTAAAGTAGCAGCCTACCCCCACCAGAGCAGCAGTGGGCCTGTAAAAAAAAAACCCAAAACACTAAAACTGCCTAGTACAAGTTCATAGCATCCTGAGATCAAAGGAAGTTTGGTCTGAAATGTGGTCTCCAAATGTTTTTAAATTCTTGTCGAATTTTGTTTTCATTTTTAATAAAGCTCTGCCTTATAGTGACAAAGAACTAAAATAAATTGATGGGATTTAGGAGGATAGAACATGCCAAAGCTTCCAAACTCCCAAGAAACCAAATTGTCATCATCAGGAGGATGGTTTAATCCATAAAGACCCTATTCCTTAATCTACAGGACCAAAACCCACAATCGGCTAAGTTTAGGTAACAGACAGTCCAGGGCAGATGTTGTTTAGTTGTAACTTGATAGCACAGAGCCCTTTTGGTTTTGCTCATATCAAGATATCTGCCTTGCTAACAAAGTAAAGAAAACCCCATCCACAGAGATTATTTGAGCTCTTCAGATGTTGCTGACTGCAATCAAAACATAGATGTCAGATTAAAACACAATGAGTAATGGGGTGGGGGGGGGGGGGGTGAAAAGGTTTGGATTTTGTAAAGCAAACAAAACAAAAATGTAAAGACAGTTTCCTGACTTCTCATCAGAGTTAAGTCTTTGAAGGCAAGTTCAAACAACACACAACTTGGAGAAGTAAAAAAAAAGTAAACAAGGATGACAGATGTTTTTGTCACTGGATTCAGATAAAGCGATTAAAAGCCAAGTTGTTCAAATCCCCTCAGGTAACGCAAAACATGAAATGATCTTTTCATGCTGACTTCATGGTTTGGATAACACACTATGACAGTGGATGGGAAGAACTCCAGATCTCAGGTGTGAAGAGGTTGTTTTGTCTGCCTCCTAAAAAATGAAAAAAGCTTATTTTCTTCCTTTTTATACTCGTTTTAAGAATGGAACACTTCCTTTGTGTTGACTTGTCTTGCTTACTGTGAGCATGAGTAAGTCATCTTACAGTAAGAAAGTAAGAGGACCATTGTTGAATACATCAGACAGCGCTATCACATTTGAATCAATGTCAGGGCACAAGTCATCTGTGGATCCCGTTACTAAATAGCTATGCGATAACTTGCACTCCAGAGTTTAGAAGAAAGCAAAAAGGGTTCCTTTCTCACTGTCTCTAAATGCTAAAAACAGATGCTATCAGGTTCACAGCTGGCAGGAGGCCTGAGCCTTTTAACCTATCTACTGGGTCCTATCATGACACAGCCAGCCTTAAAAAGACACCAGGTGTTATTGCAAAGGCAATAGAAGCAAGCACCACTCTTGTGGTAATTGTGGAAAAAATGGACATGGCTAATGATATTTGTAAAAAGTCATTCAAATATTACTGTGAATAACAAACAGCTTTAAACCTCTCTGGACAATGCAGTAAAGTAGAGATATTTAATGCAAATTCAAACTGATTAAACATTATGTGTAGAATAAGAGGTGGGGATTTTTTTATTTTATTTAGTATTAATTTTTTTGAATGATCATAAACTAAAGGCATGCCATATCATTTAAAAAACACTTTACAGTGAACATAAATAAATGTCCAGAAACATTTTGAGAACATATATTTACTTTCAGCGAGTTAGAAAACAAAAGCAATACGTGTTGAGATACATATTTGAGCTGAGCTAGTTTCCCAAGATTCTTTTCAATTACAGGGATCACAGGAAGAGAGCGAACAAGTCAGACTCCTGTTTGCTGCAAACAAGCAATATGAGTTTCCACTCTCATTGTTGGAGGGAGCCTGGGAATCTCCACCTTACAGCATGGAAAACACCATCACCTGTCAGCAATTACCAAAAACAGGTGCTGTGACCTCACAGGGCAGCGAGGGAGAGGCCCCACTTTATGCAAACATCATTCTGGGTAATGCTGTAATGCACAGCACAGGTCCCAGGTTGACAGGCCGAATTGTTGTGGTACAGTGGGGCAAAAAAGTATTTAGTCAGCCACCAATTGTGCAAGTTCTCCCACTTAAAAAGATGACAGATGCCTGTCATTTTCATCATAAGTCAACCTCAACTATGAGAGACAAAATGATGAGAAAAAATCCAGAAGATCATATTGTCTGATTTTTTAAGAATTTATTTGCAAATTATGGTGGAAAATAAGTATTTGGTCAAAAACAAAAGTCCATATCAATACTTTGTTATATACCCTTTGTTGGCAATGACAGAGGTCAAACGTTTTCTATAAGTCTTCACCAGGTTCTCACACACAGTTGCTGGTATTTTGGCCCATTCCTCCATGCAGATCTCTTCTAGAGCAGTGATGTTTTGGGGCTGTCGTTGGGCAACACGGACTTTCAACTCCCTCCAAAGATTTCCTATGGGGTTTAGATCTGGAGACTGGCTAGGCCACTCCAGGACCTTGAAATGCTTTTTACGAAGCCACTCCTTTGTTGCCCGGGCAGTGTGTTTGGGATCATTGTCATGCTGAAAGACCCAGCCACGTTTCATCTTCAGTGCCCTTGTTGATGTTTTCACTCAAAATATCAGGATACATGGCCCCATTCATTGTCTCCTTCACACAGATCAATCGTCCTGGTCCCTTTGCAGAAAAACAGCCCCAAAGCATGACGTTTCCACCCCCATGCTTCACAGTAGGTATGGTGTTCTTTGGATGCAACTCCGCATTCTTCTTCCTCCAAACGTGACGAGTTGCGTTTTTACCAAAAAGTTCTATTTTGGTTTCATCGGACCATAGGACATTCTCCCAATCCTCCTCTGGATCATCCAAATGTTCTCTAGCAAACTTCAGACGGGCCTGGAAATGGACTTGTTTAAGCAGGGGGACACGTCTGGCACTGCAGGATTTGAGTCCCTGGCGGCGTAGTGTGTTACTGATGGTAGGCTTTGTTACCTTGGTCCCAGCTCTCAGCAGGTCATTCACTAGGTCCCCCCGTGTGGTTCTGGGATTCTTGCTCACCGTTCTTGTGATCATTTTGACCCCACGGGGTGAGATCTTGCGTGGAGCCCCAGATCGAGGGAGATTATCAGTGGTCTTGTAGGTCTTCCATTTTCTAATAATTGCTCCCACTATTGATTTCTTCACACCTAACTGCTTACTGATTAGAGATTCAGTCTTCACAGCCCGGTGCAGGTCTACAACTTTGTTTCTGGTGTCCTTCGACAGCTCTTTGGTCTTGGCCATAGTGGAGTTTGGAGTGTGACTGTTTAAGGTTGTGGACAGGTGTCTTTTATACTGATAACGAGTTAAAACAGGTCCCATTAATACAGGTAACGAGTGGAGGACAGAGGAGCCTCTTAAAGAAGAAGTTACAGGTGTGTGAGAGCAAGAAATTTTGCTTGTTTGTAGGTGACCAAATACTTATTTTCCACTGTAATTTGCAAATAAATTCTTAAAAAATCAGAAAATATGATCTTCTGGATTTTTTCTCCTCATTTTGTCTCTCATAGTTGAGGTTGACTTATGATGAAAATGACAGGCATCTGTCATCTTTTTAAGTGGGAGAACTTGCACAATTGGTGGCTGACTAAATACTTTTTTGCCCCACTGTATGTCTGCCCCTCTTTGAAAATTTTA